GACTGAGGTCAGGGAGTCAGTGTATGGCAGCTGCACTGAGGAGCACCTGGACACGGGTCTCCAGGAGGATTTAATATTCCTTTATTCCCTCTGACTTTGATTTAACCATGGGCTGTGATGCTTTAAGTACCAGATATTAATTAGAAGTGGTAGTAGGTCCCAAAGGGACCATACTCCAGATCTTCTCACCCTTCCTAGTTTGACTTATTTCAGGTTACTACTCTGAAACATTATTTATGCACCCAGGAGCCTGACATTTATAATGCCTAACTAAATTTGCAAATAACTAATGGCTGTCAGCGAGGAGTACCACTCTGCTGAGGTGGAAAATAGCTTGCCCACTAATAAAACCTAGCCAAGTATATGGGATGTTTTCTGCAAAACTGCTTTAAGGCAGGCAATTATCTTGTCCCTCCTTTGGTATCACACCTAAACAGGCACAAAGGGACAATGCCAGATGGAGGGGTCCCACCAGCATGGCAGCCTTGGAGACATGAATCACTTTGGGCTGAAGCAGAAACTTCACTCTGAGCCTCTGGAAGGGAAGTGGGGCAGAGGACAAATGTTCTTTTGGCTCCTCTGGCCTCCAAAACCCTTCTGGCAGTGGTTGATTCAGGACAATGCAATGGCTCAGAGTGGGAAGAACACTGAATTCAGGCAAAAGAACCTGTGAATGGCTGGGGCATCCCATTTGGCACAAGCAGAGATGAAAATTATTTATGGGTAGCAGGATTGCTTTGTATTAAGATACAAAAAGTATCTGAAGATGTAATAGGAGTTTTAACAGAATCTAGCGGGAATTTCAAGTTGGGATTTAATTCCAGACTACATTGAGTCAGTTTTTGTCCCAGCAAAGGTTCTCTGTATTTGCTCAGATTTTAGTTCCTCTAATTCTTCTCATTCCCTTACTCTCCCCAGGCAGTATCAGTCTGGTGTTACGTGTGCCCTGACAGAATATGAATACACATGTATTGCCTGTAGTGACTCTACTGTGTGACTCACAGCACTTGCAATTTAGGCCCACTTCTATTTTTAGAATAAAAAAGGATATCTAGGATCATTGGACTTTAAAATCATTGAAAAGATAAAAAGGGGCCATCTGATGGGGGTGTAACTGCTGGTTGCCTCTATGAAGTCTTAGCAACCCTGTTGATTTAGCTTACACCAGACTTTCTATATAAAGTATGTGGACAATAGAGCTCACTCAGTGGGAGACATGAGGTTTCCTCCTATATGACATAAGTACAGTGCAAAAATATCTCAAAAGGCAAATATATTCATGTTTTATAACCTTCTCCCCTTGATTTGTTTCTGAGTAAAAGAGCTTGGTGTTTTGACAGCTGAAATTTTTTTTGTGTCTGTGAGGAAATACGTTTGACAGAAATTCTTCACCCAACAGGTTTTGACTGTTTTTAAACCATATATCAGGTGTTAGTTTTCTTCTCATCTGCCATTTTCACAACTCTTCCATATCTCCATGGCATGTTAACAGTCCCCTACATGACAAAAAGTAAACTCTGTCACCCCCTTGCTTGGCAGCAATTTTGGTGAGCACAGGGAAGGATTGGGAGCAACATCTCCAGGGCTTGCCATGGGCTGAGTCTGGTAAGACCATAGACCTTGAGGTTAATGACCCAAATTCACTAGATTCACTGTTAAAAATTGTAGTTGTAGATTAGGTGTTCCTGCTGTTCCCATTCCTACCTCCTCTGCACCTGCTCCATGTGCCACCACCGATCCCTCCTTCTGCCAGTCTCCCTTATTTTCCCGTCTTTCAGTGTTTTCTCCGGCACTCACTGCCTCACTGTTGATGCTCTCTTGCTGTCCTCCCTGTTGGCTGCCTTCGTGTCACAGAATGTGCAAGACAGGCACAACAGGAGAGGTTATAATGTGGAAAATTTAGAAATTTCCATGATGGTGTTTTTTCCTTCTAAATTGGCTGCACAAACATTTTCCACTGGCACTGTGGCCTTGCTCTGGAAAGTTGGGGAGACCATGGGGACATGGCAAGTGCTGTGAGAGAATGGCCCTTGCAGTGCACGATGGATGATGCCAACTATTCATTTTAACAGAGCTGCAGGAATCCAAACACTTTTCATGAATATTCATATGAAATTGAAAGCTGTTTAACCTGGCTCTCACATCTGTCTGGTGGGAGCACTTCAGTGCTTATGTGTTGCTGGTATGAATACTTGCAAGACATGAATTTTAAACCTGACTGAGTGTGATGGAAATCCAGTATGAAACAGAACACTTGGTTGTGAAATTTGCAATTCGTTTTCTGCCAGTTAGCTGCACAAGTCAGCTAATCAAGGAACACCACAGGACTGAACCAAGCAACACAGTATGAATTTGCAAACATTTGCCATTCCCAAAAGATCTGTAAGCCAAGAAGTTGTTTGCTGAAGAAAGCCCTAAACAGTATCAAATAAATAAATTAGAAAATTGCACCTCCACAGGCAATTCGTAACAGAAAGGGCAAGTGAGATTCATGGCAAAAAGTACCCATTGAGCTTCTGAAGAAAGCAGGGAAATCCTTCCTCAGCACGGTGAATCAATCTGATGTGGTTTGCTTCACTATCTGCTGCCTGCTGATGGAATGATGGCAGATTTGGAGTCACTTCTGGCAGGCTCTCAGATGAATGGCTATTTGGTCCTGGCAGAAGTTTTTCTAAGTGGCCAATTGGTCTGGGCTACTTTTGAGAGCAGATTTGGTTTTGGATCACGGGATTTGCCTTGTGTCATATTTTACATTTGAAAATGCCTGAAACATTGACCTCCTTCTGCTACACAAGGTGGCTTTGCATTTTGCCCTGTCTGGAGCCCTGTGTTCAGCCTCATTCCCTGAGCACCGCTGTCTGTATTTCCACTGCATCACTACCACCTTAGCCTTGTTGCACTTGTTTCCCAGAGATGCTGAGAGATTTGCCCAAGTCTCCCAGAGAAGTCTGGGCACAGGTTGAACACAGTCTCCCACCTCCTCATGGATTTACCCCTTCAGACCCTTCTCTCAGAGAGGCACTGCAGTAAAAAAACAAAGTAAAATTGTCTAAGCTTCTGAACAAAAGTGAGATGGAGAAGAAAAACCATATACTTGATTTCCACACTCATTGCTCATTTCTGGCACAGATTTCAATCTCTGTGTAATAACTCTTTGATCCATACTGCAAACTGCTACAAAAATTTCTTTGGAAGAAAGTTTTCACTGTTATCTTTATGTACTCAGTAGAGTACATAACATGGGTCGAAATTATTTCCCCCCAAATTTGCAATGCAAAGTAATGCAGTTAACTGAAAAGTTCTTGCTCGGATCAAATGGGGAATATTTATGTTTCTTAAAAGGAATTCTTACCAATTTCTGATCCAGTATTGCTTCTTTTTGGCACAATCAGTATTCACTTAGACTGAAAGCACTTTTGTTGTTAAATTGTCATTGGTTTTGTTTTAAAAAGAATTATATCCCGACCTATTTACAATGTAATATAACACACTGATCTTCTCCTTAAAGGGAACATTAGTTAGGATGAGTAAATTCAAATTACTTGGTAAGTCCCTGCTATACAGGAATTCTTTTTCTGATGAAGATTTAATGAAAACAATCAGTCTAACAGAATTCTTGAAGCTGTGAGTTTTTGGCAACAGTATTGTAAAGTATCCTGAGTGACATCCACATTAAAGTAGATTTAAAATGGTATCATAACCTTAATTTGAAAATTTAGCACAGCAAGTGACTCCATACCTCTTGCTGCAAGATATGACTCTCAGCTTCTTTACGTGCATTTTTAATGGGTCCTGTGAGAAGCATTTCCAGAAGCAGAACATTTTATTGTTACTAAATACCACTCACTCTGAAGTCCCTCTGTTGTTTGGAAATGAAACTTTAATGAACAAGTTGAAACAATTCATCAACCCAGGGAACATCACACTCAGATCAAACACACCGAATGATAAGGGCTCTGCATATGCATGGAAATACGATTTTCATTCATTATGTCCCTGCTGTTCACCCTGGTGAGGGTCACACACACAAAACCATGAACTCACAGCCAGCCCTGCCCAGGACCCTGTGCAGACCCCACTGCCCTGTCTGACCACGCAGACCCGACTCTGATGTTTGGACATTTCCTTGTCTAGTGATGACAAACTGGCACATCATAAAAAAGTACATGAAGCTTTTAACTTTGTCTATCACCTCTTGGACTTCTGGCTGGGAAGAAATAAGCTTTTTTCCAGGAGAAGCTTTCCTGTTATCCTACTGAGTGTTCATTCTCCCCCTCAGCCCTCGCTCGCAGCCCTTTCAGCATCCAGCTAAACGCTGGGTACATCCTTCCCCACTGGTTTCTCAGGGGGAGGAGGGTGTCAGGGGGCTGGCAGTGTCACGGGAGGAAATCGTGCCTTTTTCTCTCTGAAACTACATTTCTCGTCCAGCAAAACAATGCCAACAGTGCAGAGAAAGCTTTGATTATGCAAAATGGATGGACACATCACGCCTTCTTTTGCAATAGGTTATAACCTAAGGAGTCCCTCACCCGGAAAATTCCTCCCACCACCTTCCCCCGCGAATGTTTTCCCCCTTTCAAATGACATCGGTGGCACTCCACACACATTTTACACATTAGTAGCATGTTTCTCTCATCTTACAGGCTCCATAGCTTTCCTCTTCCCCTTTCATTTTAGGGCAGCTTCCCCCTCTCCCTTCTCCCACCCCAGAAACAGCCGAGCTGGCTGGGTAGAAAAGGAATAAAGTGTTTTCTGGCATGACCTCTGTGTATTTTACTCCGCGGGAAGAACAACGTGGAACGCACACTCAGCAGGCAGCGAGGCTTGAGCCACTTTGTCCTGGAGGCATTTCGGCCATAAAACGCAGGACTATCCACGGCATTTCCACGCCCGGCTCTCCCCCCACGGCGGCGACCCCTCCCCAGCGCTGCCGCCGCCGCACCTGGCCGAGCCGGGCACCGAGCAGCAGCAGCTCCCTTTGTCTGCCGCGCAAATCCTACCTCCGAGAGCTGTCACATCTTCCTCCGAGGCGAAGCCTAATTATTGACAGACAGAGATCCAGCGGAATCCTCCGAACTGCCACCGGTTGTGAAGCGCTGTCATCGTTCCCTCCCGGTGCTGAAACCTTTTTGGACCATTAATGTCACAACCCCTGCTAACTCATCGCTTAGTACTCGCTGCTCAAAATGTCTGAAATAGTTTGGAAGGATAATAGGAATGACAGGCACACTAGACAGCCATGCTTGAAATTAGTTTTCTCCAGCTGACTTAAGGCTGTTTCGTAGTGCTTTTAGGCAGGCACTCCGTAGGGTTTATTAACCTAGGCTAGACATGCCATTCCTGCCTTTATTCAGGGCTGTAATAGGATGGCTGCTAGGAACGCAGCGATAGGTCTAACTCCATTCTTCCCTCCGTAGTTCTTAAACCTCCCTAGGAGAGGAAACAGCTTCAGTCATCCTTAAACTTACTGAGGCTACTGTTTCTGCAGAGCAGGCTTTCACACATTGTTTTGAAAGTAAAGAGAAAATCCCTCCCGGGAATGGAAGGTGCCGTGGCTCTCCCGGCTGATGCGAGCAGCGAGCGGAGCCGGCAGCATCCGCCCCCGCCGCAAGCTGAGGCTGGCGCAGGACTTAGTGGAAGTAGTGATTGGAAGCTGAAAGTTCTTAAAACTCTGCGAGGCAGCTGTGGCATTAAGAGAAAGAGGGGGATGAAGGGACCGTGCTGTGCTTTGTGTGCACAGAGACACAGATGTAAACTGCGCTTCTCAAAAGGCAAAATACTGTTTGTAGATGGCGGGGACTCACAATCTAAACTTCTAAGTAAGCAGCACCTGGGATGATGGTGGGCAGAAGAAATGAGACCAAAGCACAGCATTTGAAGAGAGCTGGTGAGAGATGCTACAGGACACTGCTGTTTTCAGTAAAGCTGAGCTAATCACCAAACCCCAGCTCTAAGATATTTGTGCCCTGAGGAGATCTTGGAGCCTCTTTCTTTTTGGTAGTCAGTTAATAACCAGCCCAGGTCAAGATGCAGAAAGGCTTGTTAACATCAGCCACAGGTGTTGCTGATCCCACTATGGTCCCCAGTGGACAAAAGTAAGAGCCACCAGCACAGAGGTGTCTCTGCCAGCAGCAATGGCACACATGGGCTGGACTGGAGAGGCACCCTGGAGCCAAGGCAGGCTGGGACAGAGCAAGTGAGGAGTTGGTTCTTTTGCTGCTTGTTCCACTCCTGCCTGGTTTTTTACTATCACCTGGTTCACAGCCCTTTGCTCTAAATGAAAAATGGGAATGAGCCATCTCAGAAATGAATGGTGTTGGAAGAGATTAAGGAGGAAAGCAGATCACAGTGAAACCCCAGCTATGGCTGCCTCAGACCCTGGGAAGAAAAGGGTTAGGATAGCACTAATGGAAGATTTGCTTTACCAAACAGCAAATCAGTGTTTGTGCACAGCATGGGCCACTGGTCTCTCCTCCTCCTGCACTGGCCTTCACTGAAATGATGAGTGACATCAAGCTTGCTGCTGGTGCAAACCAGCCATAGGTGGGGACATCTGGAGGGACCACAAGCATGATGTTTGCCTCTGAATCAGTGCTGCTCCCACCAAAGCTGCCTTTGCTCACTGTGCTGCCCCATGCCTGCACTTGCTGCTGCTCTTGGACATCCTCCCTTTCCCTCTTTACCCACTGCTCCTTACACAGTCAGTGGGTTGGAGGGGAGGGCTCCAGGCTCCAGTTTTGTTTCTCAGTTTACAGCAGGGTATTATTAGCACATCAAGCTTCTCCCAGAACTGGTGGCAGCAAAGGGGACTTTGAATTTTGTAGGCAGGAATCTCAAGGTGGGCAACTACATGCTGATGGATAGCAGGGCTGACTGAACAATACTTGCTTTCTGAATAATTTAAAGAATTTTTTTTTTGTGTCACCTATCTTGCATCTTTCATGTGCCCTTCATTCACCTTAAGGCAGAAAAAAAAGAAAAGTTCTCATTGTTGCAAGAATATATTTCTGTTTCAGTAAGGGTCTCACTGTGCCATTGATTTATAAGTGGGATGACACAGCAGTTCAAGAGACATAAGATTGTGGTTGGACATACCCAGGTGTAGGAGTCCTGACTTTGCTGATGATCTTGTGAAGGATTTCAGTGCTGAACTGGACACAAGAATGTTCAGTGCCAGGTTAAAGCAGGTGGTGGTTGCCACCCATGTTCACAGTTCCCCAGCTGTGTATGCTGAGTATGAGAAGATGCATTAAAAGCTCTCCCAGTTCCCCCTCCTTCATGGACCTCTCTGCCAGGGTAATCCCAGAGGCCTCAGTCCTTCCCACTAAGTTAAAGTCACTCAGACTTGGGGGTCAGGGGGTGACAGCTGCCTGTGAGAGTTGTGTGACTGGATGGAGAGGAGAGGTTCTTACCTTGGGTGGTAATTGAAGGGGGGAATAAACTGTTCAAGATGTGCAGCATAGGCAGGGAATGACCAGAAAGATCTTCTGGGGCTGATCTGTTAACATGGACAGTTTTAGGGAGAGATTCCATGATGCTCCTTCCTCTGGCTTTTTCTAATCACTGAGCAGCAACAGCAGCTGCCACCAGTGGTGGGACTGCTGTACTCCCTATCCTTACCATGGCTCTTCTGCTGTTGTGTTTTTCTGGCACTCCAATCTGCTCCTTGCTGGAGAGAAGATACAGAGAGCAGTGGAGTGGGGATCTGATCAGGAATGCCAATTCCCTGTCTTCCTGCCCTGTATGAATGCTGTAAAGTGGGACTGTCCAGGGAAGCAGAGGGCTCACATGTGCTTTCAATCTGCCTTCCATCAGGAAAATCCTATTCTGTAGGAGAGGAAATTGCTGCTCAGCTGTACGGCAGTGCAAAGGAGTGCAACAGTTTAGAATGCCTTTGTCAGTTTCTGACCAGTACTTAGGAAATGGCCAAGGAGGATGAAGGACAGGAGGAATTTAGGAAGTTTGCAGTTTGCATGCTGAAATTTTGCCAAATAATATAATGAAAAGAGCAACTAATGCATCATTTCATTATGAGTCACCCTCATTATAACAGGAATTTTATAGATATGTAACTAGAAAGTGTAACTATCAGTTACAAATACACATTTCTACTTGCAAAAGAATGGACATGATACAATTAAAGCTTCAGGTTGCACAAACAACAACCTTTTCTCCTCCTGTGGTCACAAATTCTCTAGGAACAGTATAAGTATATTTTGAAGTTGCATACCTAACAGACAGCATTCCTTCTACCCACTTGCTGAGTCTTTTTGAAACAGCAGCAGGCAGCCTCACTAATCCATAGATACTTGGTGTGAGTTGTGTATTAAAGGAATTGCAGGAATGATCTGCTGATGGCTCTTCCACGCTGGGTGCCTCTGTAGAGTGTCAGTGTTCAGTGCAGCATTAGCCTGGCAGGGCTGCAGGTGTGGTGTGCACGACAGGTAACAGGCTGTGTTCAGGATGTATAATCACAGTGTCACTGAAATTAGTCTAGCAGGAAAAAAGATCCTCCAGAAAGGGCTGAATTCTGTCATGTATATCTAGATACTCTTGGGTGTTGTGAGCCTGAACTCAGACCTGAGTTTTTTGCAGAGGGCAGCTATTCCCAAAAAAGGATGAGTCCAGTGTGGAGGAAGATAAATTCCTAACAATTATCTTGGGAACAATCATTAATCTCACCTCTGTCATTTAAATGAAAAAAATATCAAGAAACCTTGTTGATGTCACTCCCCAGATTTACAGCTCTACCTGTCTTCCCTTCTTTTCCCTGTGGCAGAACAGGCAGCACCTGTGTGAATGCAGCCCCGTGTTTGACCAGAGTCTTGCAGTCTCATGCTGAGAACCACAGGACACCCAAGTGTTCATTTAACTGAGTTACATCACAGTCACTGGCTAATCACTTCCACATGCTGCTTGATTGTCCCCCTTTATATCCAGCTCTGCCTTTTTCTTGCACAGCTCTTTTTGAACCACTTGCCTAAGAGAAAATAACTACATCTGGAGTGTGGTTAAATGACCCAGAAGCTGCTGTTTTGCAGACTGACAGTGTTTGATGCAAATAGATGGCTTCTTGCTGTGAAAATCTCCTTGGCTGACAATCCATCGGGTACTTTCAACGATAGTTGTCTGAATTAAAACACAGGCTCCTCTTTGTATATTCACACTATCATTCTTACAGAACTGCTGGTATTAAATTCTTCCCGTGCAGTTTCAGTTCAGGCCTCTCTACTCCCCATTTGTGCACCAGCTGCTGGTGCACATCTCTCCCTCTCTTTGCCTTCAGCTTTTGCCATCTGCCACCATTAAGTTGCCCAGGTGTCAGAAATTTTGCTCTTCTCTGGCAAACATTACTCTGCCTCCTTCTTCACTAATTCAACCTTCATTTGTATGGAGGCTGATAGATCAGGATCAAACATCTGCTGCATTTCAAACTTCACAGGGGCACATGGGGAGCAGAGCACATATAGTTGCTGGCAAGAATAAAGGCTGGTTAACCCTTCCTGCCCTAACTTTCCCCTCCACTTTGAGAGCTTACAGTTTTCCTGCACTTCTAGATGTGCCAATTATTTGATACTTGCCAGTTGGGATGTTACCTAGAGCAAATATGTCCTAAAGCAGAGCTAATTTTCAGAAACATCAAAGCTTTCACATGCTGCAACAGCATCTAGTCCTGAAGTATTGAGGAGCAGCAGAGTTGGAACATGTCTGAGAGAGTTATCAGCAAAGACACCAGAATAAACCTTTTTTCCTCTTTAGACTGCTTCTGCTGGTGCAAACAGGGGCCACACCACTGACTTTGTTATGCTTTCCACAGGGGTACAGGTCAGGCATCCTTTGTGATTGCCTGCAGGGGAAATCCAGGCTCACTGATCATCTTTCACAACAATGGGTGGTGTAACCTATCGAATTCTTTTGGTAGAGATGATGCAATTAAATGATTTCTAGTGTGCCCAATCCTCTTCAGCAAATCACTGAGGATTGACTGTAACAGCAACAACCCAGAATCCAGCAAAACAGGCTGCTTACACAATGCTGCTTGCTGGGCCCAGGGAATGTTTCCTGCTTAAAGGCTGGTAAAATATGTATCTGAGGATGCACACCCAGCTGCTGGGGCCAGTCTCCAGAGTGACTGTTGAGTAATTCCAACAGGATTTCACACTTCAGCAATTTTACTCTGCTCAGCCTGGTTCTCAGTAGCAGTGCTTTCTCAGCCCGATATTGTGTGAGACTCTTGGGCAGAGATGGTTCCTGCTCTGAGCAGTTCTGCTGAGCAGCAATTGCTGCCTGCTGCTTTCCCATTTGTTAAGCAATGGATTAGTGCTCAGACATTTGCAGGCCACGTTGGCCTAAGCCCTGTGTGCAATTCTGGGGATTTACTCCTCTCCTGGAATGCCATGATCAGAGCTTGTTTCTCTCTTGTTCAATAATTTCCTGAAGCACTGCTCCAATCGACACTGCTGTGATTTCCCTGCTTTGTGGCAGATAAAGCATTGTGCCATTCACCTTTCACAGAAACACCAAATTGGCCACTTAGATGCTCTCTGATTTAACACAC